TATCATCCCTGAATGTGAAAGCCTTGACTATCTGATGAATATAATCATAGAATATCAAGAAAAATGAAGGGTATTAAAGTAATCCACAGAATATACAAAAAAAATGTGCTGCTTGTAGCTGGAGATTGGAAGGCCAACAATTTAATCAATCTATGCCAATCCACCAATTTGAACAGAACAGAACAACTTCTGAAGGCAAGCCATTGTTCTCATTGTCAGGAAATTTCTCCTAGGTTGCTTGTCTCCTTGATTAATTTCCATCATTCTTCATACAAACAAAATAACACTTATATCCATGGATAAAATCTATAAACATGGAGCACACAGAAATAAAATCAACATTATTATTAATAAAGGTGGTTCTCTCAATGACCCTAATTGGGACTGGAATTTTAGCCACTAAATAAAGCAGTCATTAGGCAAAACATCACATAACTACACCAATTAGCAACAGTGGTTCTGGTAGTCCTGGTCACGGTTATTAGTTAGGGCTGCACAGTTGTTACACTAGGACTTCCTGCTTCTTCTGCTACATTTACCTCCAATTCTTCCCACTACCTATTCCCCCTCCCACCCTTTCCACCACCTATTCTTGCAGCCCCTCACCATCCCTTGCTGACCTTTGTTGTCTTCTTTGTCCCACTGTTGACAAGGTGCACCAGGTTGAGGTAACTGCTGGCTGCAAGCCCTTCACAAGGCTTCCTGGAGAATTCCCCAAAGGTTCACAAGACTTCCACATGGTGTCATGAAGCTTTGGGAAGGCTGCATGAGGGCTTTACAAAAGTCCAGCAACTCCATCAGCTGGATGTGCCTTAGCAGCAGCGGGAGGAAGAAGATGGCAGAGTACAGCAGGGGTAGGAGGTGGACTGTAGAGTGGCCAAAACGGCAAAGATGGAGGGTGATAGGCAGGTTAGGGGAATTAAAGTCCATGCTACAGATGTAAATGCAAGTGGGGGGCCTAAGGCCTGATTTTTGATAACATGACCTTGGAACATTGCAATCACCATAATTTTGAGGACCAGCTGTAATTACCATACATTTGGTGACATCATAACTTTGAAGCAAAGGCATCTGCACAAGAATATAACTCACTTATAACAAAAAAGATAAAGTGACTAAATTAATGGATAAGGGAAATGCTGTAGACATAGTATACTTGAACTTTAATAAGGCATCTGACAAAGTAGATTACAACCTACTTCTTGATAAGATAGAACAATGTGGGATACACAGTACCACCACCAGATGGAGTCACAGTTAGTTGATCAACTGCACCCAGCATGTAGTTCTGGTTAGACTGGCAGGACCTTGTGATACCCCGCTGCATGTTTTCCTCCATGTAGATATAATTCCATTAAGAATATCTCTGATATTTGACTACTAAAGAAATCCTACCTTTTAAATAACCATTAGTGATGTACATAGTTTAGTAAGCACTACGTTTTGTAGCAATTAGCAGTTTATGTGGAAGTTTCTAAACAGAAGAGCCATACTTATTTTTTTCAATAATGTTATTCTTAAAGTTAATTTGGGTTCCTGTAATTAAATAAATAATAACAAACTTTGCAATTATAGGATGTTAATTTAAAAAAAAATGTGAGACAGTTAGTAGATAAACTTGTTTGTAATTCTGTTGCCAGCATGATATAAGGCTTATATCAAATCTTAAAAATATTTTTTTAAAACAAAATTAGATTTTCTATTTTCAGATAGATTAATTTCTTGGTGCAAAAACATGTTTAGGATACATCATGGGAGACCTGGGAAATAATCTCAGAAATTGAGGTTTAACACTTTTTAACTGAATAAATGATTATATAGGATCTAAAAAGAGAGTATGCCCAAATTTTAGCTGGGAAAAAAACTCCATGATCAACATGATTTTTTAATTTTCCAATAGCATGTAAAACAATGCCTAAGATCTTAAAGAGCCAAATATGTTCTACAAATAATTGTTTCAGCATCACAAGTGATCTTAGGACCTTTGGCAATCTTAGTTTCACAGTACTTGATTTTGAGTATTTTTTTGCAGTAGTATTTAGTAAGTATAGAGGGCATACTCCTCAAGCAAATCTAAGTATTTAGTAAGTATAGAGGGCATACTCCTCAAGCAAATCTAAGTAAGTGAGAGAAATAATGTATCATCAATATAGAGGTCTGAAATATCTATTGCCTAATCTTGGAGAATTAGTAGCTAAATTATTCAAATTATTCAATTAATTAACAGATAAACACTTCAACTAGAATTTCCATTGCATAATAAAACTTACAGCAGAGTATGTAGATTAGTAAAAGTAGCCACATATCTACAGAGGAGCTCTTCAATTTCTCCCATGAGAAATATGTGTCTATCTGCTAGGTAAAAGATATATCTGAGATCAATAAAAACAACAGAAATGCTGAATATGCTTTGAAGGCATATTTCTCTCAGCCCTATAAGGTAGACTAGGCTAAGAAAGAGATATCAAGTGGGCCTAAAGCTTTTTATTAGAACTCATATAGAGGAAGTCTAATAATCATACCCATGACTGCTGTAAAGATTGCTTCTTTAGATTTTTTTCCTTTTTCTTTTTGCTATTCTTTTCCTTTGTACTTTTATTTATTTTAAATTTTTTAGTATTTTTTTCTTTTTCAACTATTTTAGTTTGTAGTGGTCTTATTTTTGCATTTAAAATTTTCAATCAAATTATGCAGTGAGAGATATTTCAAAACATTGGTTATATTAAGCCTGAGTTATAGGCAGATCTTTTTCACAGTTTTAAATTACCGGACAGTTTTGAAAATACTCATTAAGATTTGCATAGAACAGACTTCTGGTTCGTCACGCAGCAGCCATGGATGGCTGGGAGACTTGCTCTCTCTCCCCTGTTCAGTTTTGCATCGCTGGGGGCTCCTGAAAAGGGCCAAAAATCACCCCGAAGAGGCGACCAGCAAGGAGGGGCTTTCGTTGGATCCCAGGACAGCAGCAACTCTCCCGTCAGAGCAGGCGATCGCTCCAAACCGGCGGACGAAAGGACCAGCCATAGAAATATGGCTCGTCTCTAGGCTGTTAACAGCGAAAGTCACATTACCATCTGGCAACTTCAAAGCAGCGTGGACAGGACTGGGTGAGGTTTGCTTCTCTTACTTCCTAATTACTTATTTACCTGCATAAGCTGCTAAAGTACTTCCCCCCCTACGGTGAGAGAAGGGGGATTCTAGCCCTCCCTCCAGAAACAGCAGCAATCAACCACTCGAGAATTTAAAATGTTAGAAAAATACTGGGATCCTAATTGGAATTCTATTTCCTAAAATTGGTGGATTATAAGATTTGTAACTTTCTATATTTTTTTTCTCTGATTTTCACTCTAATTACTATTGAAAATTTAGGGTTTTTCCCCCTTTAAAATAGAGGGGGGGGGGACCTAAAAAGATCCAACTAATTCTGAGACGTTACCTGCTATTCTTCAAGAGACTTGTGGACAGCTTTGAAAATAGATAAGATATAAAGCAACCTTGAAACACCATCTGCAAAAAGCTCAGCTCAGCTCCTCATTTGGTGGACTTTCTGACTGTAAAATTCTTTTCTTTTTTTAAGTTTAATATACTACAATGGAAGAAGAACAGGGATGGATTTCTTCTATAGAGGAAGTACAGGAACAAATTCTTTGTATGTTAAAAGCAATGATCCAAACTCTACGTATAAGTCTGGATATGCAAACTCAAACTATGACTTCAACCAAAGAATTATCTATACAGAATTCTATAGAGAAAGTGAAACAACCAAATGCTAGGACAGAAGACTTAGATACTCAACAAATACAGACAATGGAAAACACAAAAAAGAAACTGATAAGAGAACAAGGAAAGGACTTTTGTTATAAACCAAAAGGAATTTGAAGATAAAAAAGAAAAACAGATGAAAGAGAAGATAAATACTTCAGGACAATTGCATCGAACTGGAAAAACAAAGAGACAGCAGGTTAAATCAACTAGTCCTCTTAAGAAAACAACAACTGGATGCTCTTATCAACATCAAACAATAGCCACAACAATACAAGGAGATTTTTTTTTTGATGATTTAAAGGTAAAGATACGAAAAATCACCTGGCGGACAAAAAAAGCTACAATCAGATTGAAAAAAAAATGGGGTTTTGATCTATATATGAGATCTAAAATAGAATATATATATAAATGGATAGAATATGTATTCTGAACACAAGATATTGTAATAATTTGAGATAAAGAAAATCTTGGTCATATAAAATCTAGAAATATATTGAAATAAGAATATTATACTATCTTAGATTGGTAAGATAGATGGTAAAATTTATATACAAGGTGTGTATTTTAATTATTAGAATGTATGAGGAATTGTGATAAAGGAATTGTGTTTAATTAAAAATCTGGAAAAAAATAAATATTAAATGTTAAATTAAAATATTAAGGGAAAATTAACTATCAGGTCACTGATTGGATAAAAGTTTGAATGTTTACAAATAACTAAGATTTGAATTTAAGATATTGTTATGAGTTGAGACAAAGGTTAAGTAAAACTTAGAAGTATAAATATTAATAATTAAATTTGTATATGGGTTTGTGGTACAAATGTTAGTGGTTTATTTTTATTTTTTATTTGTTTTTCTCTTTCTGGAAAGGAAGAAAGAAAGGAAGTAGAAGGAAGAAAAGAAAAAAAATTATTAGCCCCAAATGTGAGATACAAGACTTAGAAACTGGGATCATTTAAAATCTGGAAATGATAAAGATTAAATGTTAATCTTAAATATCAATGAGAAATTAAAGTTAAGAAAAATGTACTAGGTTATTGTCTAAAAGGTGGAATGTCAAATTAATTAAGATATTTATAGACTGAAAATTATTGATGAATATTAGAAAGGTTTGATTGATAGAATAAGAACTGTATTGGTTCGAATATGACAGTAGATATTATGGGGGAAAGAGAGGGAATCAGTTGTTGTAATACTTTGAGATTTGTACTGATGATATTCAAATGTAATGGAATTACTGTGCTCAGCCACCACACCACTTTTCAAATATGTAAAAATGTAATATTGTAAAATTAATAAAAAACTTGGAGAGAAAAAAGATTTGCATAGAACAACTGTTACAGACTTCAAAAATTTCAAGTAACTGGTTTTAGAGATTTCTCTTAGAAATTTTTATTTCTAAGAGAAAAAAGACTGGGGAAGGGTGGTCAGTGAAGACATGTTGCATAGGAACAGATCAGATAATGGGGGAGGAGCCCACAACAGAGTAATGAACAGAATAAGATACTTAGAAAGAAACTAAAGAAGCCTCTTGGATGAGAAGTGAAATGTCTTCAAGGAAAAACAAAAGGTGCTTTTTGAAAAAGCATCTTTGGGACTTAAAAATGAACCACCATAACTAATCAGGTGATTAAAAGATAGTAGATCTGTATTGTCAGACTTACAAGATTTTGCTAATGTAGCCTAATATTAAATTAGAATTAACTAGTTTATTTAGAAAGCTGATACAACTCTGAACTGATGGATAACTTACATCAGGGGTGTCAAACTGCCGGCCCGTGGGCTGGATGCATCATCTGGAAGCCGCACCCACCCCATTGCCGGCAATGGCAAAACCGTCCCGATACATTGCATGATGTCATGTGACATCACGAGTTTGACATGTCTGACCTATATGAAGATTGATGTAGATGTAAAACAGGTGTGAGAGGATCAACCCCAGCATCTCTCAGATGCAATCTCTCTCCTCCTATCAATCCTGGCTGAAACCAATCACTGGGAAAGGAGGTGAACCACTATAACAACATCTCAAGTCTCACAACAAATGCAGAAGGATACTATGGTTAACAAAACTGAAAGCTGCTGAGAAAACAAGATGCACAAGGATAGATGCACCACTCCCTTCCTGATTCCACTACAGATTATCAACAAATATGACCAATGCTATCTCTGTACTATATCCTGGCCTAAAACCTGGTTGGAATTTATCCAGATTATCCATTTCCTTTAAGACTTTGCAACTGCTACCTAATTATCTTTTTTCCCCACAGGCTACAGCAATGAAGCAGGCCTAACATAAATTACACTGAACCTAATTTAAATTTGTCATTTGTCCAAGTAAATAACATGGATATAAGTTTTATTACTTTAAATGCATCAACTTTGAGAAGAGTACACAGTACATAGAATGGATCTTGACAGAGAAAGAATTCTTATTTCTGAATATGGGATCAAAACAGAGTTAACTTATTTTGCAACTCTGAAGGAAGTTTCACTTTCTTAGTAATACAAAATTCTTCCATCAGACTCTTGACCAAATTATTGTCTGATCCAGAGAACAGCTAGTAAATCCTCTCCATATTATAAGATACCTTTGAACAGAAAAGATTGTACTCAGACAATTCCACTATATTTATCTTTTTTCAATTTGTGTTTCATATTCTAAAAATGCATCAAAGGAATGAATTTTCCAAAGTCACATTCTTATTCCAAGTATTGGATTTATATGCATCCATGTGGAAATTGTTTTATTTTCTATATCATTCAAAATGAAATTTAAAATTTGACCTCAAAAAACACAGAGGAAGGATGAAGGAATTGGAGACAGAAGACTAATTAGTATATTTCGTTTAATAACTTACAACCATTTATTAAGCATTAAGGAAGTTGTTTTCTTCAAAGACTTTTAAAAATATTCATTGAAATGATTTCTTGCTATAGCACTTTAAATCAATTTTTCTTGGACTCATTTTTCAGTGTTTTTACAGGCACAATGAGAAATAACTAATTCCACCCAATAGCAGTGAGTAAAGGGGTATTTTCTGGCAAAAGGTAATGGCAAAAGAATGTTTATCTCACTGTTCATTTGAAAAAAAAAATCCTACATGGGCTTCAATAAGATGAATCAAATCCTGACCTCATTGTAACTGGGACATTATTTCCCTTATTCTCCCATCTGAGTCATAAGGTCATCTGATGCTTTGCTTTGGTTGTCTCCCATTTTAGGGTGTGGTGGGAAGATGCTCAGAAGAGGGCCTTTTCTGTGGTGGCCTCTAGCTCTGGAATACCTTGATGGTCAGATACATATACTATACTGCCTACCATGTTGTCTTTTTTGGCAAGGGGTGAAGGTCTCTTTCCTGAAATCAGTAATATATATATATATATATATATATATATATATATATATATATATATATATACGTTTTCTGAGGTTTTCGCGGGTGTTTGTATGTAGGTCTTTGGTTGTTCAGGTTTTCTCCCGCGTAAAATTGGAAGTGTCTTGGCCACACCGATGATGAGGCACGACCACAAACCAGAAGCCAGACCACAGCTGCATCATTAGCCACTTTAAACCCTCCAATCCATACATGAAGCAAACTGACACCCTCCATGAAGATGAGGCACGACCACGAACGCGAAGCCAAAAAATAGCAAGGCAGCCCAAAATCTTAAACCCCCCTGCAACTCAGACTAACCTGAGCACAACCAAATAAGCTGTATTCTCCAATGAAGATTTGAGTGACGTGAAAGTGAGAGAGATTATACACAGTCCTAAACTCTTTTGTATTATTGTAGATAGACATGGCTGTAGCAGAATAGACAAGAAATGCTGTACAAGCAGAAGAGATGGAAGCTAAAGTGAAAGTTCAAACTGCTCAGGCTATTGCTGATGATGCACAGAAATACTTAGCAGAAGACCTCCTGCTCTAGATGCTGCCCTGGCAAGCTTGAAGAATCTTAACAAAATGGTGTAACTGAGGCAATAAACAGAAAAAAAAGAGGATAGATTTTAGCGCAAATTTGGTACAAGCATTTTTGGGGTATCTGCGATGTGGTCACAGGGGGTCTGCAAAGGCTTGAAGAAATGTTATGATTTCAATCTTAAATTTTGGGGGTTCGTGGCCATGGTCCATGGTCACACAAGATATTTAAAGGGGGCCCATGGTGAAGAAAAGGTTGAGAATCACTGAGTCAGGCCATATGCCATCTAGTCCTTTTATGACTTGTCACTATCATGCCACAGCAGTTTCAAGCTTTGAAGGAGCTACCTGATCAACACTTGGTTTCTATCTCCTCTGGACAAGGTGCTAATCCACAAGCTGTTTCCTTCCCAGGCTTTTGAATGTAGTGGCCCAGGAACTGATATATAGCTAAGATAAGTCAATCATTCCCCCCTGAACAAAGCTAGATTTTGTACCAATTCTGAGTCCGTCTGGTATAGTCATTTGGTTCTTGAATTAGGAATGGGAAGACCTAATTCCTGTCATGGAAGTTCACAGGATGATTTTGGACCAATCAGCCTCTCTCTCAGCCCAGTCTACTTGGATTGTGGTTGACAAAAATAGTTTTTGTGCTGGGCTTAGCACAATAAGCCCATACCAAATATACATGCTAAATAGTATTCTAACCAAAGATTAAATGTTTATTTGCCTCTTGAATCATATATCCCATGCCATAGCAAGTAGGAATTAGATTACAAATGCTCTTCAATAGAAATCTCTATGGGGCAATTGGATCTCTAGCCGAAGTTTAGTTCATTGTCATGTTTTCTAGTCACAATCTTCTTTTGGGCTTGTATAAGATTAGAGTTTCATTTAATATTGCACACATGGACTCACAGTTGATAAGGACATTCAGGACTGGCTCATGTATCAGTTTTCTCTATTAATATTGCTATTTGTAGTATCACTTGTAAGATTCAGCAAGGCAGTTGTCAGCCTCTGCTCCATTTTCATGAACCAGCCATCTGAACAGATTTATTTTAGGTCTCTAAGTCGATCAGAGTGTCCCTTGCAATTAGATAAACTTCAATTAGTGTGATGTTAAGTTGCTCCAGAAATTCTGACATCTCCTGCAATGAAGAATAGTCAAAACAAGTGTGCGAAAACAGCATGTGATTTGTTAAATTTACATGGAAGGGGGCTTGCTACCCAAATTTAATTTAGAATCTCAAAGGGAAAAAAGTTAATTAGGGCAGGATAGATTGATTGAGTATTTTAGGATGTCTGCACATAGATAACAATAATGTAGTAGAAGAACAGAATGTGACATATAAAGGACAAAGACCATTGCATACCTGAGCACGAAGCATTAACTGCCTGGAGTCATAATACATCAAAGAGTACATTGCCTTATTCTCAGACACTAGTTTAAGTTACTAGGGATTTTGACTTTTACTGATTAGATTCATTTGTTGTTATAGAAATGGCTACTTTATACTATTACAGAAAAGTAAAAAGTTCAGGTTTGTTATGTCCTGAGCCTGTGGAAGCAGGCTCGGGGCATTGTAACGGTCCTGGTCAGGTGCAAGCTGCCCGGGACCAGACTGGCTGTTGCCAGCACTCGCGCGCATGCGCGGGTGCGAGTGCGCCAAATGTTACAGTTTGGCCCGGGAATCGCCTATAAAAGAGGCAGGGAGATTTGGGCGTTGTCAGCATCTTGTAACCAGTATGCTGAACAGAAATAAAGAGTTCCTGAGAACTACAACTGCTTCTCGTGTCATTGCCATTTCGCGAAGGACTTAACACTGGCAACGAAGGTGGGATTGCCTTACATCGACTGAAGACAGGTGTAAGCTTACCCTAGAGTCCTGAGCAGTAGGAACGGCGTTGACTCTGCAGCTACCTGCCAATCTAGCGAGCATCGGGGGTAGGCTGGCTGATAGACCCTTCCTTTTCTACAAAAATGGCAAAAGTTGGAAGACTTTCAGAATTCGACGTCTCGCATCCGGAAAGATGGGAGTCATACGTAGCCAGGGTGGAAAACTATCTTAAAGTCAATCAAGTAAGAGAAGATAGTTTAAAAGCCGCCACCCTGCTGTGCATTTGCCGTCAAGACGCATTCAAAATCGCTGAAAACATAGCAGCACCTGTACCTCTAGAATCTGTTAACTACACAGATCTCAAAAAACTACTAAAGGAACACTTCCAGCCCAAGTTGTCCGTCATCGCTTGGCGCCACACCTTCGAACAGAGGGATCAGCGACCCGGAGAATCAGCCAAAGAATACATCGCTGCGCTGAGAAAAGCCGCTAAACACTGCGAGTTCAAGGATCTAGAAGAACGGCTGAGAGACAGATTTGTATGCGGACTGAGGCATAGAGAATTGCAGCAGAGACTTTTTGCTAAAGAAGACTTATCATTCCAAGATGCCTTGAGAGAGGTTATTGCAGAAGAGGCAGCGGGCGGCGCCATCAAGAACATGAGGCCGATCAGAAGCACTCCAGAAGCTGCGTCCGTGCACCAGAAAGGAGTCCAAAGGAATCCAGAGGAGGATCCTGACGATGAAGTAGACCGTCTCTACCTCACGAAAGAAGGGAAACAGAAAGAAGGCTCTTCAGCTCTCCCCAAGTGCCTCGGTTGTGGAGGTCGCCACAAGAGGACCGACTGTAGATTCCGCTCCGCTATCTGCAGGGCATGCGGAAAACAGGGACACACTGCAGCTGTGTGTCTGGGCCGTCAGAAGGTACAACCTCGGGAAGAATTGCGCCTGAAAGGTACCAGGGTCCCCAGCCAAAACAGGGTGGGTTTCTGTGCTTCGCGAAGCCCATCAAGAAAAAGCTGACACTTAAAGTGAAGCTACAAGGGGTTCCATTGGCTATGGAACTGGATACGGGGTCTGCACTTTCAATCATTTCCATGCACACGTTTAGGAAGATTTGTTCTGGCAGCGGATTTCAGGCCAAGCTTAGGCCTTCCGACATTGTGTTAACAGACTTTCAAAATTCCAGAGTGTGTGTTAAGGGGGAGGCCACCCTTAACTTACAGTATAAGGATTTTGAAGGTCCACTAGATGTAATAGTAGTAGGGGGTGAACGAACGAGTCTCATAGGACTCGATTGGTTTGAGGCCTTGGGAATACACGTCACAGGGCTCAATAGCTTGCAAACAATAGACCTACAAGAAGTCTGCAAAGAATTTGCAGATGTTTTCAGCCCCCAGCTGGGCACGTACAAAGGACCCCCTGTGTCACTGAAGTTAGACCCTACTGTCACCCCTATTAGAATTAAAGCAAGAAGGGTCCCTTTTGCTTTGAAAGGTAAAATTGACACAGAATTGGACAAATTGATTCAGCAAGGAGTTCTAGAACCTGTCGACTCCAGTCCTTGGGAGACCCCCATTGTCACGCCTCTTAAGGCAAATGGGGACATTCGCATCTGTGCAGATTACAAATGCACTCTGAATAAGGCATTGCAGCAACATGCCTATCCTGTCCCCATGGTCAGTCATGGGGGGGGTGCATTTTTGCAAAGCTTGACCTAGCTCAGGCATATCAACAGCTGCCTGTTGATGATGCTGCTGCTGTAGCTCAAACCATTGTGACCCACAGGGGGGCATTCAAGGTAAAGAGGTTACAATTTGGAGTAAAT